TTTCTTTACGTTTATTTGAGAATTCATGGATAATTTGATTATCGCAACGATTTTACAAAGATTGATTAATACGCAGTTCGCCCGAGTCAATCCGCAATATTTCCAAAAGGCGCATAAAAATATATCAAAGTCATTATCCCATTTATGTGTATATATATATTTATATATATATATACACATATATATATATAAATATATATATATATCGTGAAAATATTGATTAATTTTATATCGGAAAAAATTGATTAAAAAGAACATTTCTTTACGTTTATTTGAGAATGATATATATTTAAATGTTTTAACATGATAATTTTAAACAGAAATTCAGTTCTAATTGTTCTTATTATAGTTCGCAATAAATTGTTTATAATAGCATTCTACCAGATTACTACATGCGGTCACAATACCAAAAATCTGAATTCAATGGACATGATAATTCTTAGTACATTATTCTATCAAGTACTCTTGTAAATAATGATATTTAAACTACTGTAATTTCCAAGTGTTTCTGGGATCCAATGGAGTATCGTTTGTATCTGATCTGTTTGAACGCGTTTGTAAGGACGAGTTACTGCTGGATCATTGCAAATACGATTCGTTCTTTAGGAAAACGGGCGACAACAATCGATAGTGGTTATCTGCGCCGAACCAAATATCGGATCGCGCGGAAGAAGGGAGCCCAAGAGTGGCGTATGGGGGAGAGGGATACACAAACGGCGTGCCGAATTTACGAGAGCGACGCTGGCTGTTCAAATACTATCAAATTCGAATCCGATTGAGAGCAGGGCTTAGCCGATCCTACCGATCCTTCCAATCTCCTCGATCGAAGGGACTCGATGTTCTCTCCTCGCCGAGTTAAAGTCGGGGGAAATCAGGTCAGAGCGTTCGCGCTTATCGATCGCTCGGCGGGAATCTGCCGGGCACTTATTCTTCCGCGCTACGGTCGAAGATGGAAAGAAAGGAGATAAATATCGGTGAACCGGATATTGAGAGGAATAAATAGATAACGTAGGTTTCGTATAACCCCGTTAAGTGCCGATTTGTTTCCGAAACGTGCGAGTTTCCCAAGGAACGAGGGAAGTGAGCAGAAAGAAATTAATAATAAATTTTGTCGATAGAAGGAAATAACGAGCCAGTGAATAATAATGGCGGGATTTTATTGTGCTAAACATCAAAGTGAATAAAAAATAATATCTTATTTCTCAGTTAATTTAAAATTAATTGTGTAAAATATTCATTACAAATATTGAAATTTTTTAGACGTCTGCGTGGATAAAATGCAATTATCAACACATAATGATTCTTTTGCCGGATCATAAAAATCGCGATAAGCTTCAAACATCGCGTGCATCACATTTTCGCGGAAGTAATGTGAACCAGATAGTATACACGGGCGGCATTTTCTCACCGCCATCCGCTCGCTTTCATCCCGCGCGAACGAGACTGGATCCCGAGTGTAGATCCCGATAATTATAATCAGTCGGTAGGGTCCAGCGTTAAGGCAAGGGAGACAGCGACGATCGTCGGAGTTGGTGGTGCGAGGGATGGTGGCGGCGGCGCGAACCAGTCGAGAGGGCGGTGGACGCGAGAGGATAGCTCTGTGTGCCGTCTCCGCTCGCACAGCGACAGAGGGTGGACAGCATTTACATCATTTAATTTATGACCCTCTCCGCCGCGATCGGCCTGCACGACGGCTCTCTCTCTCTCTCTCTCTCTCTCTCTCTCTCTCTCTCTCCGCAACGTATATACGCATACACGCGTCGCGCAATGTGCGTCGGTACAAGTGCACGCGTGTACACGCATACGTACGTAAATACAATCGCGCACGCCGCGCTCACTAATGCACGGGGCAGAATAAATTTGCATATGCATGTGACCGTGTTCGGACGGAATCGCGCGACGGAAAGAGGGAGGCCGGGAGACACACTCCAACGTGGAAGCTACCTACGGGCAAGAACGGGAATGGAACACACATCGGTGCATCCCTTTCGAATCGAACGTATACCCCGACCGGGAATGGTCATTGCGATCGGATAATGGCACTGAAAAAGTAACGCGTTTGCTTTAAGTAATTTCATTTGCTGGAATTCGGTCCTTCGGTGTTTCCTTCTACGTGTAGTTTTATAGAGATTGCTGCATTCTCCGTTCTCTTATTTGCTCTCCTCCTCCTCTCTTTTCCGCTGCCTTTCTTTTATTTACACGTTTCTCGCTAATTAACTCGACTAACGAATGGTAGGATCTACAAGAGCGTGGATAAATCAGTAAACGTGATTGATGAAAAAAGAAAGATTAGCAATGTATTCGGCGATCGTACATACGGCTTCTGTTTAATTCATCCTACCCTTTTTGGGGTAAGAAAATCGCGGTCTCACGATTGTAGCCCGGCTGCCGCCACCGGATGACAACTTGCGGCCGAAACTCCGGGTATTAGCGGCGGCGAAACTCGAGGAAACGCGGGCCCGTCTTATACCATAACCTGTAACGTGTAAACGGGAGTATTTGGCCCGGGGATTACCGAAACTCGAAGTTTGATTGGCCGTGCCAGGGGTATCAAGTTTTGGCGGGGGCGTGTGAAACTTCGGTTAATTTGCCGGGTTGTAGCGAGCGCAGCGAACCTCGCAAGTTCGGCGGCGCGAAAGCGAAGAGAGCGGAGCGGGGCGCTCAATGTTGTGTTTGATTGGATTGATTGGCTTCGACTTCGACATTTTCTTTCCGCGGCGCGGCGCGACGCGGCGTACAGTGCTTCCTGCCGAAAACACACCGTATCCTGCCATCAGCAACTGCCTCTCGTTGTCCAGTCAGCAATTGGACGCGATAAAACGCGAATGCAATTCGAATGAGATCACTGTTTAAATTATATGTACATTATCGACGATTATTTCGTCGGTATGACGTGCCAATTTATTACAATGTTTATGAATTTATTATTTAAATTTATTACGATATTTTATAAATCAGCAATAATTTGTGTAACATTTGGACAACCGCTTTTGAATACTTAACATTGTTTTTGGAATTATGCGCTTACGGAAATATTTTCAAATATACGATATTCTCTCATCATTCGATTAAGATACTTTTGACATCGTTGTTGATATGAACGTGAATATTTTTGACAAGTGAATTATATATAATTGATATTTATAATCTGCAGCACAGGTGGATATTTTATTTATAGTATCTATATTTTTTCTTATAATATCGCGTTTGTTATAGCAAAGCTTTTTTTTTTATATTGAGATATTTCGCAGAAACATTAAATAGATTTGACGTATCACACACAGTTTCACGTGAGATGTTCGCTACGTTTTATCCAATATATTCGTCAAATCGCATCGATGTACACTGTACAGGAATCTCCAATAAAACTCCAATAAAATTCGAATCGGCACGGGCGCCAGTGAAGACCAGAATTTCGGCGATTTTGTTTTATCGTCGCGGTGAGACTTTGAGCGATGGTGGCTGGCGGCTTTGAGCAGGTATAAAAGATGTAATTCTTTTAATTACAAGGACTCTTATGACACGGTTCTTGCGAAACGCGTGATAAATGAAGGAGCACCTTTTCGCGGATATTTTCGCTCTTTATTCGGATGTCCGAATGAGCCAACACGAGAATGCTTGTGCATGACTTCAAATTAAAACGCACAATTACGCAAGAGAGAATTTGCTTTTAATTAGTATACAATTATCCGCTCCCTCCCCCTCTCCTCCCCCCTTTCTCTCTCTCTGTCTCTCTCTCTCTCTCTCTCTCTGTCTCTCTTTCGTCGAATTCATTCGTCTCTGAATTCCTGAAATCGATTTCCATGCAACGACACGGTTGTGTAATTCGCGTTTTCCGCGAATAACCGAAACGGGAAATTCGGGAAAATACCAATTTTCAATATCGAGAAATTACCAGTAAATAACTCAGCGATGAGACTTTTGAAAATACTCTCTTTTTACATTCTTCGCTTTATTCGTTATCTTTTATAAATAAGGCGCAGTTCTGTAAAAGTCATTTGCAGAAATTGGAGCCTCTCTCATCATTTATTACGTTATATTGCTCAGTCTTGCGAAATCGTGTTGCGAGACAAAAATACCACTCTTGCGGTCTCTCAGCGTCGAATATCATACGCACAAAATTGAATTCCTCAATTCGCTACATACATACCGCGCGTGATATGCGCTCGCGTTTCACTATACATTTTTTGTGCGAAAATTTGTCTTGCGGATACCTTCTGGCACAAAATTGTTCTCGACATTTTTAGCTCGAAATAAAATAAGCGATTTCAAACACACACTTTGAACATATGGTTAAAATTACCTCATTTTTTATGACGAATTTGATTTTATATTATTGCAATTTTACTAATAAAAAATTATTGCTTTACATTGTTACAGAATGTCAGAAGGCAGCACCGGTTGGCTATGGCTCGTGTACTGAGGCCACAACTGCTGCCCTCCAAGCCGCCCTTTATCTCTTCATGGCAGCAACGGTGAGTGAATTAAATTATTGCGATTTCAATTAATATAATTAATTATCTGGTATTTACTTTTATATGTATAATAAAAATACTTGTATACGTAAATCTTAAAAAATCATGTAACGAAATTTATTCTTTTAGTTTGCGATTTTTCATAGAAATCTATAATATGATAAATCACATTAGACTTAGGTTATATTAAATTAAACGAGCTTTTTTTATTTTCAATAAAATAGTTATTATAGAATTAAAAGGGGTTAACAGATATCGATAAATTTTTCTAAAAATCTGAAACAATCGAGGGGCACTCTTTTAAAGTCTTAGGTCGTACTCTTGCATATATCCTGTGTGCATGTGCGCACATTTATGAAAGTAGAAAGCCGCTTTGCGCTCTCTCTCTCTCCGTCCCTTCCTCTCTCCCTCCCTCCTCCCCTTCATTGTGCGGTCGCTCGGACAGAGTCCAGAGTTCCAGAATTCCAGACCGCCCCTTCCGGATATTCGTTCGTCGTATATCTTCGAGCCGGTCGCGCACCTCGGTACGTGGCGATCGCCAGTCTACCGATTAGGGAGAGGAGAGAAACGCGGTTGAAGTCGCCACACGAGTTACGTGTGACAGTTTAAGGACGGCAGACGGAACGACGTTATCTACGTTCTCTTGATAACCCCGTCAACCGGTTAGCCTGGTCCTTCTCTAGCGTCTGTACCAGACACTCTGTAACCGGAAGATGTAATGTTCAGGTTCGAGTATTTTATCTAAACGCCGTCTCCTTAGGTTTTCGATCTCTTTCAACACAATTGCGACCCTCGAATCGTTCATGTTACACGACGGATAATGGATTGTCTACTTACTTTTCCTTTTGATAGAAAAAAAAGATAGAATAATAGATAGATAAATAGATAGATAAAAAGATAGAAAAATATAAAAAATATTTTGCTGAGAATTTAGCGAATACATATATATTTTATGATTCTCTTAGTTTTAACATTTCTCTCATACATATATAAATATAATTTATACATGTATATTTGATATACTTGGAAATTATTGTATATATATATAATAGGTTCTATATAAAAGTACATAGAGATTAATTTTTGAGAAATTAACACACCGCCTGAGGATATACGGAATATTTGGAATTAAGGGGCTGAAGATATATTTCCTCAGAGATACGTACATCGTGAAATCAGCACGCTATTACGCCGAGGTGCTTAATGGGAAGAGCGACGCAAGATGAAAGGGCCGTAAAGAGAGACACGACTTTGCGTTTAGGATGGTGTTCGCCGTTTGAAATACGTGCGTGTCCCGATGCGCCAGGGGGGAGGGAAAAGGAGGGGAGGGGGGCGGGTACGCGGGGGATGTAATCGAGGGTTGCTGCGCGTTCGAATCGCGTCGACTTTGCTGAATGTGCGGTGGCGCTTCGATTAATAGTTATTGGTTTCGTTGCCGGTTGCGGACGCCTCCGCCGCCACCGCCCTCGGCTTCCTTTTCCCCTCTCCTCGTCCGTGACGGAGCGCCAGCCGTATCGGCAGCTCCGGATAATATTAATCGCCTTCGAATCGCGCCGCGAAAACGCCCGATCGAACGGGGGTGATGTGGGCACCCACAGGATACGAAGGATACGCGGGCGTATCGGCACGAGGAATTACGCCTTGCACCTTGCGCCAAGCGAAATGCTAACACGGAAGCAGCAGTTTTGCGTTTCTTATTACTTGATATTTTTACGCAACTTTCATCGCGGGGGAACAGAAATGCTAACGTCTGAATTATTAAAAATTATATAGTAAGGAAAATTTGCCACAAGGGGCGGAATGAAATTTTAGCATTTATTGCAGAAATCTGCAGAAATAATTCATATTTTTATGAATTAAATATAATTACGCGGACATGGAGTATCCCGTTGACGTGCTCTCTGAGAGAATTGAAAGGAGTCGTCGGTTTCACGGTCAGATGCAAACTTAGAGATAGCGCTAATTGTTTTCGAATCGTATCGCGATTTATCGTAGATGCGGGCTGTCTGGGGGAAGCACTATCGACGTGGACATTCATTTTGATAATGCCGTCCAACGATGGGGATCGACTTACCGCCGTATCCCGAGGTATTCGCGTATCACGTCAATGTATCGTCTGGCGTTTATCGCTGGTCGATAACGCGTGGGACACGCACCTGCGCCAGCGTCGAATTTTACGTCATCGTGGACCACTCCGAGGTCGCTGGGAGGCCTGTGACGTGCAGGAGATATTCGTTCCCGCAGGAATGGCTGATCCGGACAGTCATTTAGGCTTAACGAATCCCGTGGACCTGAATTCAATACTCTGCCGATATTCACATTTACATATCACATATATACGATTTCGTGAACATAGTGTAATAAATATTTGAGAAAAACTGGAAGAAAGATACAGTCTAATTTAATAATAATAATCAAATGATAAAATAATAAAAATTACAAAAAAATAAAAATATCAAGATTCATATATTTGATATAGATGGTGTAGGAAGCGGAAGCTAGAGCTATTTATTTATGTTTCTTTACTTAAAAAACCTAAAAAGAAAATGCCAATCTTTCAGTCGTTTAACTATATATCTTGTAGATATACTTGTAATTTATAAAAATTAAGAATTTGATTTTTTAAATTTTGAATAAAAATTGAGTTAATATGTTTGCTTTCTATTATACATCTGTTTCTATTGCTTAGCAGTATTCGGAAAAGTTTGTCGATATCTATTAGTTCTTTAATAATTAATTCTACAATAATTATTTTATTAAAAATAATGAAAAAGCTTATTTAATTTAACGTAGCTTAATTAAGTCTAATGTGATTAATCATATAGTATAGATTTTTATGAAAAATTGCAAACTAAAAGAATAAATTTCTTTATATTTTTTAAGTACATTACAAGTATGTGCTTACAAATATTTAGCAACTGATATCATGTGAAATTGTCTCTTTTGGTTTTTTTTCTTTTATCAGTCTCGTTCGATTTATTTCATAAATACGGTTATATTTGGAAAAGTTTAAAAAATTAAAGTTGACCATGTAGTTTGACATGAATGAGGGAATAATGGGAAATAATTAGACGTTGCGTTTTTACCGATACAGGCGGCGGATAAACACTTTCTCTTACAGAAAATAGGAACGGCATAAAGGGGGCGGACATAAATATTCAGCCTCTAATCGAGCGCCTCGCTCCGCGCCGTGCCGTCGTTAATTTTCCGTAAAGGCCGATGAAGAGAGTAAAAAAGTTAAGGCCGAGTGTGTCGGGGAGTGTAAAAGCGTAGACGCGCTACGTAACGAGCAACGCGGAGCCCTTCCGGTTACTTTTCCGTCGAGTTATTGCATCCGCGCTCCTTACCATCGTTAAAAAGTAAACGAGCGTACGGTTCTTTTCGCGAGACGATGCTTTATCGCTTTATAAGTAGTCACGATGAAGTAGAGTAGACAATCGCGAAGGCTATTACAGCACGCCTCACTGCTTGTAGCCACGGCGTACAACCCATTCGTGCCAACGTTCGTCAAGAATTGACTAAATTTTTCTCCTCTAAATTGTCCATATTAAAGACGACAATAAATACCGATGAAATCTAGCGAAATTTATTTATATTTTAACTGTCGGTGCAATTACGAAAATAGATCGTATATCGTATCTTTTTAGAATTTGAAACGATGTTAAGGCCAAATCAAACTAGCGATTGCCGATTGGATTGCGATTGTGATTGACGATTGGCGATTTTTCAACCAATCAGAGCAAAGCAGCCATCGATTGATATTACCAATCGCCATTTAGACAATGCTCTATTCTAATTGCCAATCGCCAATCACAGTCGCAATCCAATCGTTAGTGTAATTTGGCCTTTAGTTGAATTTAATTGATTTCGATTATTATCCAGTATTTTATGAAGCTTAAAATATTCTTTCCTTTTTTATTTTTAAATGCATTTCCATTTACGTCGATGTACTTTTGTTAGGATATGTGAGTATAGAACGAGAGTTGATCGTTGGGCAGAGTATAAGATGTAAAACAGCATAGCGAATTAGCCGTGCATTTGAACCTCATTCCGTTTGCGTTGGGAATACTCGTGCTAAGCGAGTCGTGCCTCCAATTTTAAGGCAAAGCAAACCTGACGTTTCCATGCCGTTGGTTTTCATTAAGAAGCCGGGCGGCAAGCAAATGTAACCGACTGGCCGTGCTTAGCATTCAGCCCTGTTCCTACCAGCCAGGTTTGCTATAAGTTTCTGCCGGTCCAGCGACCCCTTCGTAACCTTCTCCTCTCTCTCTCTCTCTCTCTCTCTCCGTTGTTCCGGTCTCAGTAGTACATGCGGAGACGATAAAGGCGATATGCAAACGAGACACGTGCGCTGCTTGTCCCTAATTAATGTGTCAATTGAAACCACGGGTCGCGCCTTGATATTTTTCGCTCTCGCGATTATCATAAATTATCAAATTAACATTATTTAATTATAATTACATACTCTGCTTATATCCGTGCATAGTATATATAGAAAACATGGTAATAGTTTCTTTTGATATTTGCGTAGGAATAATTATCAGATATTGCCGTGTAGGAGTATATTTGAATTAATTAATGATATTTAAAGAGAACATTTTGATATTTGCGTAGGAATAATTGTGAGATATTGCCGCGGAAAAGTAGATTTGAATGTAATTATTGATATTTAAAGGTAAACAAAGCTAAATATACGCGAAATAGTGTATTCGCAAAATTGTTTTTTGATATGGAGAACGCGGGCAACATCTGAATTCGTTACTCCGAGCTGGAGAAACCAATACTTATTTCTAGGTACGGGCCATCACATATCGCATATCGCCAAAAACGAAGCGTCGAAAAAGTTCTCTGAGTCTTTGCCTCGCTCGTAAGTTTGCACGCTCGCTCGTTTTTCATTAGCTAGCTTTCTTTTTTTTTTTGTGCGGCATGACGGCAGGCGAGCTCCAGAATCCCGGACCGGTGCAAAGTAAACGCGCCAACAATTTTGCACGAGGTATACA